TGACTTTGAATTTGAAATCCTCCTGAACCACTGGGATTACAGGCATGTGCCACTGTGTGTGACCCTTTATAGTAAAATCTAAACAAACTTATGGTACAGGCTTCAATCCAAAATTGTTGCATTTTAGTTGTCATGCTCCTTTGGTCTCCTTTAATCTGGATCACTTATTCAATTTTTCATGTCTTTGATGTTTTGAAAAATCCTTTAATTGGGATTTGCCTGATATTTTCTCATGAGTCTATTCAAGTTATACATTTGTGGCAGAAATACCCCAGAAATTATGTTGTGTCTTTCTCAATACATTACATCAGGAGGCCCATAATACCAGTCTGACCCCACATAGGTTTTTTCCCCAGTATATATATTTTTTTTACTTTGAAAAGTTGTTTTATTTATTCAAGGATAGGATTAATATCCAACATATATGAAGAATTTCTACCAAAGTCAGTTCTTTTGACATATGTGTATATGCTATGAGCAATTCACAGCATATAATCGTGCAACAAGATTCAACAATCTGAAATAATCAGAAACACAGATTAAAAGCATAATAGGCCCCAGTATAATTAAGAAGTAATTTACTTGGAAGGCTGAGGCAGGAAGATTGCAGGTTTGAGGCCAGCCTCAGCAATTTAGTGAGGCCCTAAGCAATTTAGAGAGAACCTATCTCTAAATAGAAAATAAAAAAGGTCTGGGGATATAACTCAGTTGTAAAGCACCCCTGGGTTTAATCCTCAGTACCAGAGGAGAAAAAGAAGTAATTTTCAGGATATTACATTTTTTTTTTTTGTAGGAAGGATTGAACCCAGGGGTGCTTAACCATTAAGCAACATCCCAAGCTCTTTTTGTTATTGATTGATTGGTACTGGGGATTGAATCCAAGGACACTTAACCAGTGAGCCACAACCCCAGACCTTTTTTTAAATTTTGAGACTGGGTCTCCCTAAATTGCTGAGGCTAGCCTCAAACTTGCGATCCTCCTATCTCAGCCTTTTGAGTTGCTGAGATTACAAGAGTGGGCCACCAGGGCTGGGGATGTGGCTCAAGCTGTAGAGCATGTGCCTGGCATGCAGGGGTGCTGAGTTCGATCCTCAGCACCACATAAAAATAAAATAAAGATGTTGTGTCCGCTGAGAACTAAAAAATAAATATTGAAAAAATTCTCTCTCTCTCTCTCTCTCTCTTTGAATAAAGTCTATCTTTAAAAAAAAGAGTGGGCCACCAAGCTAGGCAGGGCAATTCTTTAAATCTATGTAAATATAGTGTTCCTCATCATACTCATACCCATTAATTTTTACCCTTGATGACACTTGCCTGAGGCAATTACTACATCAGTGGTTGCCAAATGGAGATTTTCTGATTCCATCATTTCTTCTGCATTAATTAGTTAAAATTGTTTTGTAAGGAAGTTTTCACTTCCACTCCATTTATTTATTTAGATCAGTTTGGATTAGTGGATTCTTTTCTTTTAATTCAAATTAGATCATTGGATGGTAAAATGAGAGGCTCCAGACTAATCTTGTACTTTTCCTGCACTAGTCCTGGAATCAGCCTTGTCTCCATGGGTCCCTCGTTGCTGGTAACAGAAAACAGTAATTAGATAAAAGAAGTCAGTTAGAAGCAGTCTGATTGATTGGAAAAAAAGAAATAAACATAGCTCTCTTTTCAGATTATATGGTTTTGTATTTGACAAACTCTAGAGAATCAATGATAAAATAACTCTAACAATGAAAGTACTCAGTAAAGTGGAAGGATATGAAAATAACCTAGAGAAACAAATGGCCTTTATACATACAAACACTAATCAGTTTGAGGATATGATGATAGTGAAAAAAACCTCATTTATAAAGGCAAGGAGTGGATGGGATGAAGCTCAGTGGTAGAGTGCTTGCCTAGCATGTGTGAGATTCCTGATTGGATCCCCATACCCACAAAGAAAAAAAAAATGTAATAGCAACAAACAAAATAGTATACTTAGGAAGGAACCCAAAAAGAAATGTGAAAACTTATGTGAGGAAAACTAATTATATATATATATATATATATATATATATATATATATATATATATATATATATAATTTTTTTTAAAGAGAGAGAAGATTTTAATTTATTAATTTATTTTTTAGTTTTTGGCGGACACAACATCTTTGTTTGTATGTGGTGCTGAGGATCGAACCCGGGTCGCACACATGCCAGGCAAGGTGCCACCGCTTGAGCCACATCCCCAGCCCTCAATATTATATTTTTTTAAAAATATTTATTTTTAGTTGTAGTTGGAAAGAATACCTTTATTTTATTTATTTATTTTTATGTGCTGCTGAGGATCAAACCCAGGGCCTCACAGGCTCCAGGTGAGCACTCTACCTCTGAGCCACAACCTCAGCCCCCTATATTAAATTTTTTTATTTGTTCTTTTTAGTTATTCCTGACAGTAGGTTCTATCTTTTATTGTATTTTTATACCTTTTATTTATTTATTTTTATGTGGTGCTGAGGATTGAATCCATTGCCTCACATGCTAGGCAAGTGCCCTACCACTGAGCTACAACTGCAGCCTCAGATACACACACACACACACAAAAAAAAAAAAAAGCATAGAATACATCTTATTCTAATTAGGATCCCAGTCTTGTGGATGTACATGATGGTGATATTCAGTGTTGTGCATTCACATATATATGTAGGAAGGTTATATAAGGTTCATTCCACTGTCTTTCCTATTCCTATCTTTTTTGCCTTCCCTTCATTCCATTTTGTTCAACCCAATGAACTTCTATTCCCCCACCACAACCTTATTGTGGGTTAGCATCCACATATCAGAGAAACATTCAAACTTTGATTTTTTGTCATTGGCTTATTTCACTTAGCATGATAGTATCCAGATTCATCCATTTACTGGCGAATGTCATAGTCATTGTTCTTTATGGTTGAGTAATATTCCATTGTGTATATATACCACAATTTCTTTATCCATTCATCTGTTGATGGGAATCTAGATTGGTTCCATAACTTACCTATTGTGAATTGAGCTGCTATAAACATTGAGGTGGCCATGTCACTATACTATGCTATTTTTAAGTCCTTTGGGTATATGCTGAGGAGTGGGATAACTGGTTCAAATGATGGTTCTATTCCAAGTTTTCTGAGGAATCACCATACTGCTTTCCAGAGTGGTTGCACCAATTTGCAGTCCCATCAACAAAGTGTACCCTTTTCCCCACACCCTTGCCAACATTTATTGTTGCTTGTATTCTTGATAATTGCCATCCTGATCAATAAATGGGCAACGGAACTATTTTTTTAATTTAAAAATGCACTTGATGGTGCATACACTCAGAAACAGTTGTTATTGCCTGCGTATTTGCAAAAATAATAAAATGGGGGTACCATTCAAAAAATTTTTTTAAATTAAAATGCACTTGACACCAGGCATGCTGGCTCATGCCTGTAATCCCAGTGACTAGGGAGGCTGAGGCAGGAGGATTGCTAGTTCAAAGCGAGCCTCAACAATTTAGCGAGGTCCTAAGCAACTCAGCTTGATTCTGTCTCAAACAAACAAATAAATAAAAATAAAAAGGTCTGAGGATAGTCTCAGTGGTTAAATGCCTCTGGGTTCAATCTCACACACACACACACACACACACACACAAACATGTTAAGGGCTGGGGATGTAGCTTAGTGGTAGGGCACTTGTCTAGCATGCAGAAGGCTTTGGGTTAAATCCCCCCAAAACACCCATATACACATATATTAAATTAGTCCTTAAACATACTAAAAGATGCCCAGTCTCACTTATTCTAAGAGGAACACAAATCAAAACTACACTAAGGTGGGTCTGTGGTTGTGGCTCATTTTAGAGCGCTTGCATAGCACCTGTGAAGCACTGGGTTTGACTCTCAGCACCACATAAAAATAAGGTCCCTTTTGTAATTCCAGCGACTGGGGTACTGAGGCAAGGTCGAGCTTCAGCAATTTAGTACCATCCTACCTCAAAATAAAAAGGGTTGGGGTCGTAGCTCCTTAATAAAGATCCCCCCCCCCACTGAGTCACATCCCAAGCCCTTTTTATTTTTTATTTTGAGACAGAATAGCGAGACAGGATCTTGTTGAATTGCTTAGGACCCTCCCTAAATTGCTGAGGCTGACTTTGAACTTGCGCTCCTCCAGACTCAGCTTTCAGGGCCACTGGGTTTACTGGAGTGCACCACCATGCCTGGCAAATGGGTGCTTTAATGTAGTGAGATAAACAATGTATCTCAATAAAGTTCATTGAATCAAAGAAAAAAAAGAGCTCTGGCATTTTAGTATTAATTTGAACGTTTCATCATTCAGGTCCCCTCCTCCACCCTCCAGGTGCCAGAACACAGGATTCTACCTTTGGAATACACCCTCAGCCCTTGCTTTTGTTTTTGTTGTTTTAATAGAGCGCCCCTCCCCCCCACCTAGTTCACTGCCATTCTTTCCTCTCAGGTATTTTTAATTTTTTGGTAGCTAGGGTCCTTTACCTAAAATGATGTACAGCATCATGTTAATAAAATCATTGTCAAATCTTAGGAAAAAGGGGGTTCACCAGAGGCGGGATTCCCCTCAGGGGTCACTGGAAGGAGGGCGGGAACCAGAACAGAGGAAAGCTTCCGCTTTCATTTCTATGGTTATTAAGTCAACCATTCTTATTAAAGGAGTAGCGCAGAAGGGTCATTTTCTGTCGGCAAACACTTCCCTAGCGAAGAGTTCACTCATGAGACAGGGATGCCATAATGTCTCACAACAACTGGTAACCCATAGAAGTTTAAAGGGCAGATAGGATGATTTTGAAATTCTAGTAAAACATTATACTAAAATCCATCTGACCTGTCAGTTTTGTTCTCTTTTCTCCGTTTCCCAAAATCTGAACTTCTGAATTAGGTTCCTCCCCCTCTATTCCTGGCCATTGGTTCGGTCCGAACTTAATACTGACAGGAGGCACGAGCTGCGTCTGCGCATAAAGCTGAAGGGGGGGTGGGGGGGAGGAACATGGCGCAAGCTCTGTCTGAGGAGGAGTTTCAGCGGATGCAGGTGCCGCTCGCTGTGGGAAAGACCACCGGGCTAGGCGACGAGGGGGAGGGGTATAGAGCGGTCGTGCCACCGGCTCTGAGAATGAGTTGGCTGGAACCGACATTGAGCCTAAGGGATTGATCTGGAGAAGGGAAACTGAGGCTGTGATCGGCGATACTCTTTGATTCTGAGATATCTGGGCTCTGAAGATTAGATTCTGTTAGGCTTGTGGGCAGGGGAGAGTGTCCTTTACTAGGCAATACCTTACTCAGAACTGGGGGGACGAGATCTTTGTGTCTGTGTGTGGGGGATACCATTGGTGGGTGATGATAATTTTGGGCTTTGAAAGAAGGAGATCCTGAGGGCGAAACCATTTTGTCTGGAGAGGAAGGAAGCTGGCGTTGGGCCGTTTGCGTCACGGTGGGGGGAGCCCTTGAGAGGGCAATACCATTACCCTGTGGGAGGTGAGAAGTTTGTGGAAGATACTACTATGCCAGGGGATTGGGGAAAGACCCCAGGTGTGTTCCTGGGAAGTGGAGATACTGTGCCTTTGGTGGTAGGGGATCCTCAAAGGGGCGGTACCATTGGATTATTAGGGGTGATCCTTTAGGCCTGGGGTAAAGAAGGCCCTGAATGGGTAATACCATCAGTCCCTACGGGTGTGGGGGGCACCAGAGAAGGTAAAAAAGTGGTATCTTGGACTACATGGAGAAAGGATCACTGCACTTTTTGGAGGTATCCTGAATTGGTACTATGATTACTTGATTCTTTTAGGGTGGGAACTCTTGAGAATGGATGAAAGGCCATAGCATTGCTTCAGGAGTGGGCTCTTCTCTAGAGAGTTCCTTGCTGAGAGAGTGTCTGAAAGGAGAAAATCCTGAGAAGTGTCCTGTGGGTGAAGAGCAGGAACTCTGAGAGAGGACAAAAAATTATTTTGGTCCTTGAATGAGGGAAAACAGTTGTTCCTCACTGGGACTCTGGGGGATGAAAGGGCGAGATCTTTGAACCATTAATTGGAAAGACTTCCCTAACCTTCGCAAGGGATCTGAGTAATCCAACTGTCCCACCCAAGGCTTTGTATTTGAGAGAAGTGTGTAGAGTCATCCCATTCTACCCCAACTGGAGAGATCTTGTTGGGAGGTGGGAATCCTTGGGTGAGGAAGGTTGATCCCACTGTGCAGTGAGTGAGAGAAAACCATTTCACTCTGTTGAGGAGGAAATCTAAGGGAGTGAAAAGAAGTGTTCCAGTTGGACCAGGACGTGGAGAGGGATCACTGAGTCCTGGTGAAGACAGGGGCAGGAAAAGTTTTATAGAGACCAAACCCTCTGACTTTGAGCAGGGGAAGAGAGGTAGATGTTAGTGTGTTTTGAGGGAGGAAAGAGGTCCTGGTGGGGTAGGGGATAGCGAATGAGTCTGGGACGAACCAGCTTCAGAGCCCTACAGGGTTTGTAGAAAGGACTGTGCTGTTTAGAATGGCCCAAACTTCACTTTTTCTTAATTCTTTTATTTCTTTTTCTCTCCTTTTCGGTAATAAGGATTAAACCCAGTGAGCTGCATTCCCATTCCTTATTAATTTTTGAAACAGCGTTCTCACTAAATTGCTGCTGGTTTTACTAAGTTGCTGAGAATGGCCTCAAACTTGTGATCTCCTGAGTCACTGGGATAACAGGCTTGTGCCACTGCACCTGGCCCTTTCCCCCTTTTTTTTTTTTTTTTTGGTCCTGGGAATTGAACCCAGATAGCCTAAACACTGAGCTACATCCCCGTCCCTTTTTATTTTTATTTTTTAGACAGGGTCTTGCTAAGTTGCTTAGTGCCTCCCTAACTTGCTGAGACTGGCTCTGAACTTGTGATCCTCCTGCCTCAGCCTCCTGAGTCACTGGGAGTACAGGCATGGATCATTGGCATGCCCAGCCCTTTCCTTAATTTTTGAAGGGGGCCTGGAGATGTTTTGAGAACCTTTGTAGTTACAGGATCCTGGGAATGCTCTTGACTCAATGAAGGTTGGGAAGGAAAATACCAGACCCTCTTCCCTTGGGAAAGAGGTGGGAAGGCAAGCCCTTGTTCCTTGCCCTCAGGGGCCTCCCGGTTTGGTAAGATAGTGTTCAGTGTGTGAAGGAGTCAGCCAAGATGAGAAAGAGAAATTTTATCGCATGTGTATGGGCCAGCACTCACTGATGGCTGGAGTGCAGAGTGGATTGGAGGGGTGAGATTGGTTGGAGTTATAAGTGGACCTGGAGGAGGTGGGACAAGGGCTCAGAGCCTGGCAGCTCATTTTAGGATGCAGTATGTTTAAGTAATAAGGAGTGGCTGAGGAAGCACTTGGAGGGTACTAGTCCAATCCATAGGGTTTAGGAGCTCGGTTCCCTTGTGGTGGGGGTGAGAGCACTTTTCCTAAGTTTTTTCCCTTCTTTTTTCCCCAAAGGCTCAGCTCCTAGAACTCCGGACAAACAACTACCAGCTTTCAGATGAACTACGCAAGAATGGCGTTGGTGAGCCAAGAGGGTCTCATTAGGTGGGGGTGAATTTGGGAGCCAGAGGCTGAGATTTTTACCTCAGAGGTCTGGCAGGAGGAGCCTTCAGCTCCTTGCCACTGCCTGAGGTTGCAATTCCCTGCTTTCCTCACATCAGAGCTTGCCAGTCTTCGACAGAAGGTTGCCTATCTGGATAAGGAGTTCAGTAAAGCTCAAAAGGTACCTTTCTCCACCCACCCAGCCACCCACTCTCTGCTACCCTTTATTTGTCTGACTCATTCATGTAGCCAATGAACACCTACAGTGAACTAGACCTAATATTAAATGCTGTTTTCATGTAGTCATTTAAATAATTCTCATGGAGATCTCTTTATTTGGATAGTTTTACCTAATCCTGCTTAATTTATTGATTAACTTAATTTATTCTTATTTCATTCTATGTTCAGTTACTTATTCATTCTTAGTCACTAACTTTTGATTGAATAGTCTAAGTTAATCTGCCTTCAATCTGCATCCCAACTTCTACCCACATTCCCCACTTTGTCCCCCTATCTTCCATCCCTATACTGGTCCTGTTGGTAATATAAGACCCAACCCACCTCTTAGATCCCATAAAGATGAGATAGAATATAACCTATTAAAGCTTCTCAAGACATTCAAGATTCTCCTTTGTTTTCTTCACTGCTCTGTCCCCCTTATTACAATGTTATATGTAGTACATGCTGGATAAATATTTGTTGGATGAACACTAATACAGATTGCAGAAAATCTCACTGTCAGGAGGCTGGGCTTCTCTTTGTTAGGGTACTAATTCTTCAAACCTGACCATGCCCTCGGCTGCTGAGAAGCACTTTCCATGTTCTATGGGAGGGATCCATATAGACATGTTTGGATGATGTAGCAATAAAGCCACAATTTCTGAGCTTGGAGATCCAGCCTGTAAAGGGTTAAATACTAAGTCACACCTCGACCTCAAGAACATAGAGAAAAGGAAGATTCTTATGTGCTGTAGCACCAAAGCAGTATTCTCGTTTGTTCAGTCTCTTATTTACTCACTCATTCATTTTGTTATTCCTATGGGCTCCAAATTGTCAAGAAAGTTCTGAGGTTGAAGACAATCTCACCCTATGACCCATGTCATCATTGTCCTCCATTAACACTAGTCATAGTAGTCTCCATACCCTACTGAGTGTAGGATATATTCATCGCTGTTCACTTTAGCTGTCTTTCCACCCCTTACTTTAGGCACTGAGCAAGAGCAAGAAAGCTCAGGTAAGGGGGCTCATGGTGGGTGAATGTGTCTGAGAGACTCTAAGTGGGAGTATATCTCTGTGTGCTGGGATCTCCTCATACTGGCCTGCCTTTCTCTGTGTGTGCCCTTGCATCTACCATTTCCTCACTGTCATGTATTTCTGTGTCTTTGTTTTCCTGTATTTGTCTTATATTCTGCCTCTCTGTGTTTTTCTTTCTTTCTCCATTTCTCTCTTTATTCTAATTCTGTCTATTCCTGGCTCTGTCTTCCTGTTTCCTTCTCTCTGACTCTTGTTTCTCTCCTCAACCCTCTCTTTGTCTTTCCCCAACCTGTTCTTATCTCTGTCATCATGTGTCTTTTATGTTTTTTTTTTTTGTTTATTTCTCTCTGACTCCTTGTTTCTCTTGCTTTTTCTCTTGTTTTTTCTTTTTTCCCCTTTGTTCCTTTATCTCATCCTGACTCATTTCTTACCCTGACTTTCTCACTTCTCTCTCTGATCTGTTCTTTCCCTGGTGATTTCTCCCTGTTCCTGTCTTTTCTTTTTCTTTCTCTCTGATCCTTCTTTCCTTTCCTGTTATTACCTTTCCTTTTCTTTTCCTGTACTCCCCCTTCTTTGTCTGTCTCTCCCTCCCTGTTTTCCTTTCTTTCTACTTCCCCATGACTCTCTATCCATCTTTCTCTCTCTCTCATTTTATCCCTCCCTGTATGTTTCTCTCTTGTATCACCCCTTTCTCTGTACCTTATGCTCTTCCCCTACATCATCTTCTTCTGTCTCTTTCTTTGCCATACCTCCTCATCTTTTCTGCCTCTATTGGAGTCCTGGCCCATGTCTACCACTGCAGGAAGTCGAGGGACTGCTGAGTGAAAATGAGATGCTGCAGGCAAAGCTGCACAGCCAGGAGGAGGACTTCCGTTTGCAGAACAGCACACTTATGGCCGAGTTCAGCAAGGTGCTGGTGCCTGGGATAAATGAGGGAACAGGAATGCTGTGTGCATGCTTGTGTGCATAAGTGTGTGCAGGGGCTATCCAGGCTGAGACCTGACAACAACTGGTGGTTGGACAGGGTCTGACCTTGGATCACTGTCCATGGTGCTGAAACAAGTCCTGAAATACCATTGAGGGGGCAATGATTTGACAGATGGTGCCTTTCACTGTGGTGCAATCAGATGGCTTCAAGCCCTGAGGTCAGCTGGTTCCTGGCCCAGGCACTCCTTTTCTTTGAACTTCAAGTCTCCATAAAATTGGGGCTGACGTATGGAGCATCAGGGTGTTGGGGAATTTTTAGCTAAAATTATTATGCTTAATATGGGTTGGAAAGGTATTTGAAGTGCTTCCCTTTTGTCTTCCTTCCCTTTGTCTGACATAAGCCTGGGGTTCCACTTCTTCCAGATAATTCATCATGGATCAGTTAATTCTATATCCTCACTGATTTTAGTGTCCTGGCTGCTTTTGAAACTACTGGGCAGTTGGAGACTTTGTCTTTTTGTTCTCTTATGTATCTTCTGTTTCCATGGCTAATTACTTTGTAAATTTTTAGCATATTTTCAGGAAAAAAGGTCCTTGGTAGCAAAAATGGTATTTATAAGGCTCCATCTGATAAAATACTTCTTAAAACCTTAAAAAACAAAGCAAAAATCAACCTTTAAGCAAGTACAGTGCCAGGAGAGGCAGTTCAGTGAGCAGTTGTTTCAAACATGTGGTCTGGTACGGGAAGACCCAGATTAAAATCTTTTTTTCCCCCTCAGCACTGAAGATTGAACCTAGGGATACTTTACCACTAGGCTACATCCCTAGCACTTTTTAAATTTTATTATTTTTTTAAAATTTTGAGTCACGGTCTTGCTGAGTTGCTGAGGCTAACCTCAAACCTGTGAACTTCCTGCCTCAGCTTCCCTAGTTAGTGGTATTGTAAGCGTGAGCCACCACTCACAGCTAGGCCTAGATTAAAATCTTGGCTAACTGTGACCATGGTAAAGTCAATTCTCATTCGCAAATGTTTAAATGATGGAAATGATGGTGGTCATGGTGGCTCACGCCTGTAATCCCAGCAGCTAGAGAAGCTGAAGCAGGAGGATCGCAAGTTCAAAGCCAGTCTCAGCAAAAGTGAGGCACTAAGCAACTCAGTGAGACCCTGTCTCTAAATAAAATACAAAATACACATGGGGATGTGGCTCAGTGACCAAGTACCCCTGAGTTCAATCCCTGGAATAAAAAAAAATGGAAATGATACTGATAACAGTATTTGTCTTGCAGGGCTTTGTGAGGATTAAATGGATAAATGTATGTAAGTCACTTACAACAGAGCCTTGGATGTAATATCAGCTATGGAAATATTAGCTGATGATATTATCCTTCTATCGATTCAGTCTTACTCTAAAATATATTTTATTTTGGCAATGTTGGGGATTGAACTCAGGGCTTTGCATATGCGAGGCAGTTGCTCTGCCACTGAGTCACATCCCTAGACCTCTAAAATATTTCTTGATATTTTGGGAAATCCTAGAGATTGAACCTAGGGACTCATGCGTACTAAACACATACTGTATACAATTGAGCTACATCACCAGCTCTTTCTTGACTTTTTAAGTTTTGATATTCTGGGGTTGGGGATATAGCTTAGTGACAGAACACTTATCTAGCCTGGGTTTGATCCTTAGTGTCACACACAAAAGCCATCAAGTAGATGACTGGGGATATGGCTCAGTAATAAAGCACCTGCTTAGCATGCATGAGGCCCTGGGTTCAATCACCATTACTGAAAAAAAAAGTTTTATATCCATCCTATGGCCCTCACCTGCCTCAGCCCTTACTACCTCTCATTTGAGATATATATATATATATATATATATATATATATATATATATATATATATATATTTGGGGGCCGGTACTGGGAATTGAACTCAAGGGCACTCAACCACTGAGCCACATCCCTGGCCCTATTTTGTATTTTATTTAGAGATAAGGTCTTACCAATTTGCTTAGCGCCTCACTGTTGCTGAGGCTGGCTTTGAACTTATGATCTTCCTATCTCGTCCTTCCTAACTGCTGGGATTACAGACATGTGCCACCATGCCCAGCTTTACTTGCTACATTTTCACAGTCCTCTCTCTGGTTTTCTCACTTCAAGTTTTTTTTGGGGGCGGGGTACCAGGGATTGAACTCGGGGGCACTTGACCACTGAGCCACATCCCCAGCCCTCTTTTGTATTTTATTTAGAGACGGGATCTCACTGAATTGCTTAGTGCCTCACTTTTGCTGAGGCTGGCTTTGAACTCACAATCCTCTTGCCTCAGCCTCCCAAGCTGCTGGGATTATAGGCCTGCACCACTGCACCTGGCTTCAAGTTTTTTTATTTATTTATTTTTATGTGGTGGTGAGGATCAAACCTAGTGACTCATTTGTGCTAGGTAAGCACTCTACCACTGAGCCACAACCCCAGCCCTTGAGTTTTTTTTTTAATTGGTCCATTCCACATAGGTTGTTTTGACCTGAAGGTCTGCCTCATCACTACTTTAAACATTAACTTCTGGTGCTCCCCACCCCCTAGTTCCATGCCCCTGGTGCTCACATAACCACTGGTCTCACAGCCTTACTTGTCTATGCTTTTTGCTTCCATGGTATCTTGGTTCTAATGGGGTGAGGTAGGTCAGGCATTTTTCCATAAATCTAGCTCATGTTTCCCTGTACTACCCAGGGCTGGGTACTGGACCAGGTATGGAGACTTCCTTCATAGTCACCTTCCTACTCCTCCCAGGCACTGGAAGTGCTCACAGGGAGGCATTGGGATCAAAGCCTGTATCCACCCCTTGTTTGCCAAGATATTTCAGCTCAATTGTTTCTTCAACAGATAGTTATTGAATGCTTGCTATGTTCTGTGTGTTCTGGAAATACAATTGTGAGCAGCACAGAATGTTCTCCACTCTTGCATAGCTTACATTCTGGGAATGGGATTAGGAGAAAGACATAACATAATAATCAAATAAAATTAGTAGGTAGTAATAACTGACATTTATATGGCATTTCCTATGTACCAGTTCCTATTTGAAGTGCTCTACATTATTTATTCATTTTAATCCTAGCAATAGCCTATGAGATATTTTTAGGATCCCTATTTAACAGATGTGGAAAACTGAGCCCCAGGGAGATAAAGTAATTTGTCCCAAGATCACCTGGTTAGTAAATGGCAGAGTATAAATTCATATCCAAGCAGTCTCGTTTCAGAATCTGTGCTTGTGACTGTTAAAAAATAAAATTTAATTGTGATTAAAACCAGATAAGAAAGAAATGAATGCAGTGCTTTGATAGAGTAGAATTTCGATGTTGAGGGATACCAATTTTTTTTTCTTTTTGATTCTATGGATGGAGCTCAGGGCCCTAAGGCTATGCAAGTGGTCTCTCACTGAGCTACATCTCTAGCCCATGGGATACTATGTTAAAGGTGACATCTGAGCAGAACACTAAAGGATGCACAGAAGCCAATCATGTGAAGAAGTAGGTGAAAGAAATAGTGTCTGGGATAGAAAATATCCCAGTCAATAAAAATAAAAATTTTCCTGGGCCTCAATGTTATCCCCTGAAAATGGGGACAAGGTATCATCTTGGAACTTCTATGAGAAGTGTACTTCAGTCAGGAAGTGAACAGGGGGCTGGCTTAGTTTTATTTTTATTGTTTACTCTCCAAGGCCAGGAGCTAGCAAGGCAGGAACTATAAGTAGTGCTGGCCCTGGAAATACTCTTAAAGTTTTCTATGGTGCCTGAGCTGAGAAGGAACTATCCCTGGGCGTAAGACCCAGGACACAGAGCTGTTTATAGAAGTCATGGCATTGGGACTATCCATGGTGTTGACAATTTCCAGAGGAGTGTGAGGTCTTAGAGTTTATCTGAGATGTTGGGAACAGGCAAAGGGGAAATTGTTCTCACCATTCTCAACCTTTTTGATTCTGCTAAACAGATGTGTGAATATGAAGTTGTTTAACATCTCTGTGCTTCAGTGTCCTTATCTGTAAAGTGTGAGAGCACCTATGTCATAGGTTCTTTATGGGAATTAAATGAATTATTAACTGTGTGGTCAAGTGCTATATATGTTTCGGTGAATAGTGTTCTGATTTGCTGCTTCTGTGCTTCCTTACTCTTCCCCTGCTCAGCTCTGCAGCCAGATGGAGCAGTTGGAACGGGAGAACCAGCAACTAAAGGAAGGGGCTACTGGAACAGGCACTATCCAAGCTGGACCCCATGTGGATGGGGAGCTGCTAAGATTGCAGGCAGAGAACACAGCCTTGCAGAAGAATGTGGCAGGTATGTAGAGGCTCTCCTAGGTATATAGGGATCTCAAAACTTGAGTGAAACATAGAAGAATGTCTGCCTCTCAGGGGAAGGAAAAGGGCTTTAGGGCCAGGCTTGGCCTTGCTAAGAACTTGCTGTGTGGCTTTGGACAGGCCAGTTTACCTTTCTGAGCCAAAGGGTCCTTATCTGCACAGTATACACAGTGAAGGCTGCTACCTGAAAGATGGAAGTAGAAAGAGTTGGTATCAATCTGCATTTGGTTCAGGGCCTGGTCCCTAGCAAATGTTAGAGAGCAGCAGCATGAAGGTTGAAAGGGATCTATTTACTAAGTGAAGAAAGTGAATGAAGGAGCTCAGATCATAGGTGGGGTTTGGGATAAGAGCTGAAAGACAGTTTGGTATATTGTGGGAAGGTCCTAATGCATGGACTCTTGGTGAACAGCTGGGGCTTGTTTCGTGGTGGGTGCTAGTTCCATGATCAGGAGGGAGACTTGCTAGAATGTGGATGGGTATTCTGAGTTTATAGTAAGGATTTAGCTATAAGTAGGGGAATGGATCATGGCAGACAGGATCTCAGAAGTTGGTAGGATTTGTAAAGGCATGAATGGTGCTTGTGGGCATTTGGAGCAGGGTTTCTGTGACCTGAAGGATTGAAGGCCAGTTTTCCCTCTATTTGAAGCATGGCAAGGAACTTCAGAGACTACCTCATCCATCATAAACATACATAGCACTTCATCATATATTCTTATTCAACCCACTAGCCCTTCAGGAGCGCTATGGGAAAGAGGCTGTGAAGTCCTCAGCTGTCAGTGAAGGCCAAGGGGATCCCCCAGTGGGCGTCACTCCCACTATCATGGCCCCCATGCCATTGGCAGAGGTGGAGCTGAAATGGGAAATGGAGAAAGAGGAAAAGAGATTGCTCTGGGAGCAGCTGCAAGGCTTGGAGGTAAACCTGGGTCTGTTGTGGCTGGGATGTCTGGAGGCAGGCAGATGCCCTGGCTCTGCCTGTGGTCCCACGGAGATGTCTGTGACATCACCATCTTGTGGGCAGAAGGGAAGGGGTGAGGGAAGCAGGAGGACAAGGTGAAGCAGAGGCCTTCCCCTGTCCTTACTAACAGCAAGCCCATCCCTCATCTTTCCTTGCAGAGCTCAAAGCAGGCTGAAACATCCAGGCTGCAAGAAGAACTCGCTAAGGTGGGGCTGCCCAGCTTATTCCTGGCATAGCATAAAGGAGCATTGTGCCTCCCTCAGAGCCTCAGTTTCATCATGGGGGAAGTGGAGAGACTCACACTTATCTTTCAGAGTTACTTGGAATGGGCTAATGTGGCCCCACTTTATTTTGTGCATGTCAGGCCCCATCCCTTTTGTCTCCTCCCAACTTTGCCCATTCATTCATTTATCCAAGCATTTACAGATTCCTTATTCTTATTTTAGAACCTATCGGTCCAGCATTAAGATAACCAGTTAGGATCCTGATTTCTAGGCCTCCCAGACTAGCCATTTTAGGATGTGGCTATTGGCCACTATTTAGAGGACATAAGTGCTGGCCTTTGGAGCCCAAGGGATCTAAATGGAGATAATGCTTTTGCTGCTGACCAGCCAGGCAACTAAATTACTTATGCCTTCTGAGACTTAGTTTCCCAGTTTGTAAGACTGGTCATAGTCACTTCTAAGGGCTATTTTGAGGATTCCATAGGATAACATAAGTAAATCATGTCTTTCAGAAAGGGTGCAGTGAAAATTATGTGAAAAGATTAAGTTAATTTTTGTCTTTGTTAATATAATTATCATTTTCATCACTTGTCTACTCCCCTTTCTCCCTCCCATCCAGCTCTCTGAGAAACTAAAAAAGAAACAAGAAAGGTATACTTCATTTTATATGGTTTTTAGGAGCCTATAGAGACATTGACTTATAAAACTGACCCATCTATGTCTGTCTTTCTGTGCCCAGCTTTTGCCGTCTACAGACAGAGAAGGAAACACTATTTAATGACAGCAGGTAACTTCCAGGGTTGGGAGCACTGGTAGACAGAGACTGTTCCATGCAGAATTACCTGAAGCTCACAGGGGCAAAACTAGGAGTCTGAATCTTGAGCCACATCCAGTGTGCCCTATCCCTGTCACCCCCAGGAACAAGATTGAGGAGTTACAACAGCGGAAGGAAGCTGATCTAAAGGCTCAGTTGGCTCGCACCCAGAAACTGCAGCAGGAACTTGAGGCTGCCAATCAAGTGAGAAGCTCAGTCCTGAGATCCCTGGGGTGGGGAACTCTTGTTTGGGGAGGTCTGTGGCTCATGGAGACTGGCTGGGCAGTCTGTAGTATTTCCTGTGTTGGCAATTCAGAGATTGGATGGGCCTAGGCCTTCCCCAGGAGGTAGAAAAATAGGACCTTAGGAGCCCCAAGAGTTCTAAGATTTGGGGTAAGGGTCTGTGTGGATCAGAGGTCCTGGGGCTGAGGACTTGGGGGATTGTGTATCACAAGTTCATATCAGTCTAAAACTACCACTGGGGTTTAGGACCAGCAATAGGTGTGAGTCTGAACTTCCTGGAGACTGGGTGATGTTGAGACCTTGAAGAGTAGGGGTGTCAGTAAATTTGGGATCTCCAGAGGCCTAGGGCATGTGGGACAGTTGGTACTAGAGGTGTAGTGCATTTGAGACTCTCAGGGTCTGGAGGTTAGTTTGGGTCTAAGATGTTTAGGAAGTGGAATTGCATGGGCTAGGTGGTCCTGAGACCCCTGGGGAAAGTGAACAAAAAGCTGGTTAGTCTGAGACCTTCAGGGGCTGGTATAAAAGTCTAGGTGGTTCTGTGGCTCTTGATGGTTGGGGGCTGGCTGACTTTAAAGCCTCTAGGTTTTCCTCTAGAAGGGGTAAGTCATAAGTCCATCGGAGAAGGGAATATGGTGGCTCATGGTACTAAGGCCCCTAGAAACTGGGAATATGGGAGCTGTAACAGGAGTCTAAGTAAGGCTGAGATGCCCCAGGACCTGGTAGTGATCTGTCTCTGAAGATCCTCAGAGAGTGGGGACCAGAGTAATAGGTGGTGGGATTAAGTCTGAGACTTCTCTAGGAGCTGGAAACTAGGAGATTGTATGAACTTGAGACCTCTAGGGTCTGGAACTAGGAGTTTGTGTGGATCTAAAACCCTTGGAAACTTGAGACATGGGGGTTTTAGTGTTTCTGAAACCCCTGGTAGTCAGGGCCTGGAGTCTGAGTAAAGCTATTGTCCCTAGATATTGACCACATCTGTGATTCCTGGGGTTTGTATGCATCTTGAGAATCTGGGGCTCCCCAGCTGGAATCTGAGTTAGTGTAAGACATCTTATGGATGGGGGCTAGGGGAGTTTGAGTCCTCCAAGAGCTAGGACCAGGAGCTTAGGTGTATCTGACATGCTTGAAGGATGGGATAGAGGGTACAAGAGTATCTAAGGCCACTTCAGGTTGTGACCTGGAGTCTGGTGAACCTGACATCCTTGATGGGTAGTCCAAAACTCACAGGTGCTGGGGACACACTGTTGGTTACTCAAAAGGGAGTCTGTATGGTTATATGTACCTCAGGGGTGGCTGAGGTCTGGAATGGGCTCCTCTGACCTCCTGGTACCCACAGAACTTGGCAGAGTTAAGAGATCAGCGGCAGGGAGAGCGCCTGGAGCATGCAGCAGCTTTGAGGGCCCTACAAGATCAGGTACGTTGTACTGGGTGGGTTTGGGGATCTGAGGTTGAGGGAGTTGGCAGCCTGAGTGAGTGGGTGCTACACAGGTAGGCAGGTCCCTGGGGGTCTTGCTTCTCCTAGTCCTGGTCTGTGGTCCGTGTGTCTGTCTGTTTCCTTTCTTTCTTGGCTGCGGGTAGGTCCTGCCTTCCTGTTCTGGACCCGCTCTCACCTGTCGTGGGGGTGGGGCCAGGTGTCCATCCAGAGTGCAGATGCGCAGGAACAAGTGGAAGGGCTATTGGCTGAGAACAATGCCTTGAGGACTAGCCTGGCTGCCCTGGAGCAGGTACAGGACACATGAGAGCCCTTGCTGATCCCTCCTCATTCTCCCATCTCTCTTCTTTCTGGTCCATACCCAGGCAGGGTGTTTGGATACCATGCTGTTTTCTGGTACCTGTTTCTGTTTTTGTTTTCTGTTGGCTCCAGCGCTTTCTCTCTGGTCATCCATCTTTGCTTCTTTGACATTCTAGTTTCTTTCCAGTAAAATGCATGAAATATAATAATCTTAAGTGTATAACTCAGTGAATTCTATCTCTCTATCTCTCAGTCTTCCTATTTTTCTGTCTCCACATAGCCACCTCCCAGATCAAAAAATAGTGTATTTTCAGTACCCTAGAAGGTCCCCTTTACCCTTTCCAGTCAATACTCCCTCAGAAATAACCATCATTCTGACTTTAGCAACATAGATTCACTTCATTTGCTCTTTATTTTATATAAATGGAATCAATGTTACTTTGTCTTTGGCTACTTTCTGGCACCTTTGTATACATGAGGTTTATCCAAATATAGCTTGGGTTTGTTATTTTATCACTGTGTAGTGCTCCATTGCATGAATATACCACATTTATACATTATCCTCAATGTTTTTCTTTTGAAATTTTCTCTCATTCTACTTTTCTTCATGCCTTTCTGGAACTGAGAGGCCCATGCCTCATGCCTGGGTCCCTGGGGCCCCTTCACTCCATATCCCATCACCACACTTTCTGCAGATCCAAACAGCAAAGACACAAGAACTGAATATGCTCCGGGAACAGACCACTGGGCTAGCAGCTGAGTTACAGCAGCGGCAAACTGAGTATGAGGATCTCATGGGACAGAAAGATGACCTCAACTCCCAGCTCCAGGTGATACTTCTGGCTCTGGTCTGTCTTACAGTTCCCTAGTACTGGTTCAGTGGAATCCCCAAGAGGTGCAGTAGGGAGACTATATAGTCAGGAGGACCTAGATTCCAGGCTGTTTCCCTGACTTTATTAGTATCCATATGTCCTGGCACAAATCATTTTGCTTTTCCGAAGCTGGGCCTCTTCAGTTCATTAGGATATACATTCTGATTCCATAGTATAGGTTATGTGTCCTTTATCCAACCTGTTTGGGATTAGAAATGTTTCAGATTTCTGATTTTGGGGGTTTTAGAATATTTGCATATACTTACCAAGATGTATTGGGAATAGGACCCAAGTCTAACCACAAAATTCATTTGTTTTGTATATACCTTATACATATAGCCTGGAAGTAGTTTTATATCATATTTTTAGTACACCTGTATTTTTCCCTGGGGGAGACAGATCTTGCTATGTTATCTAGTCTGGCCGTGAAATTATAATCCTCCTGCCTCAGTCTTCTGAGTAACTTGGATTATAGGTGTGTACTACTGTGCCTGGCTTGTACCTGTGGTTTTCTTTTTTTAATAAACCTTTTTAAATTTTTTAAAATTGTAGATGGACACAATACCTTTATTTATTTGTTTGCTTGTTTATTTGTTTATTTTTATGTGGTGCTGAGGATCGAACCCAGTGCTAGGCGAGTGCTCTACCACTGAGCCACAACCTCAGCCCCACACCTGTGTTTGACTGTGACCTATCACAAGAGGTCAGATGTGGAATTTTCCACTCTGGTCTCATGTTGGTACTCAAAAAGGTTTAGATTTTAGATTTTTGGATTAGGGATATACAAGTAGAAACTAGAATAATAGTAAATTAAATAAGAGAGAAGTTTAAATCTCTTTCATGTAAAACTCCAAGTAGGTTGTTTAAGGATGAGTGATGGCTCTGCAATCATCAGTGACCCTCATTCTTTTTCTATTGCTCTTCTCCCACCTTCATCATAAGACTTCTATCTTGGCATTCAGGGTGGTTGCTCAAGCTCCTCCACCATCATTTTTGCATTCCATCTTGAAAGAAGAAGGAAATAGGGCAGGGAATAGTATTCCCCTTTCCTTTAAGAGCACTACCTGCCAGGCATGGTGGCACACACCTCTAATAGCAGCTACTTGAGAGGCTGAGGCAGGAGGATCCCAAGCTTGAAGTCAGCCAGGGAAACTTAGTGAGATCCTGTCTTAAAATAAGATTAAAAGGGCTGGGGAATGTAGCTTAGTGTTTGTCTAGTATGTGCCAGGCCCTGATCTCAATCCCCAGTACCAAAAAAAAAGCATAACCTAAGTTACATCAACCAATTTCATACATAAAAAGTAATCACGTGAGTTGAGGGTAGTGGCACCAGCCTGCAGTCCAGCTACTTGGGAGGCTGAGGCAGGAGGATCCCTTGAGCCCAGGAGTTTGGGGTCAGCTTGGGCAACATGGCAATACCCTGTCTCATAAAATAAAATAAGAAAAAATCACATGGATACACCTAACTTTGAAGGAAGAGGGGTAATGCTTGCTAGACCATCATGTACCCAACCACAAACTCTGTTGCTAGGAATGTATGGGAGAATGAATATTGGGGAGCAACTAGCTGTGTAGAGGTTGAGATTATAACACTCACTTGACCAATGGAAAGGGAGATGGTCTACCAGAAGCATCCCAGGTAACCAGCACCTACTAGCTCTTCATCAAACTCATCCCCTTTGTTCCTGCGTTAGGAGTCATTACGGGCCAATAGTCGCCTTCTGGAACAACTTCAAGAAATAGGGCAGGAGAAGGAGCAGTTGATCCAGGAACTCCAGGAGGCTAGGAAGGTAGGGTACCATGGAGAGAGGTGGAGGGACTGGCTCAGTCCAAGGAAATTGGGGGATGTAATATGTTCAAATCCATGGGAAAGAGAGGGGGAAGAAAATGACCCATTTTCTGAGGATGGGAGAGTGACTCAGCCAACTTGATTGGACTGAGAGAGGGGTGTCTGTCTAATTCCTTGGCCATGGGGACAGGGTGGTGGCCCTTTTCCAGTATTAGGGGAGGAGGTTGATTGCCATCCTCCTGGCCCATCCTTCTGACCCCCCCAGAGTGCTGAGAAGCGCAAGGCAATGCTGGATGAACTAGCAATGGAGACGCTGCAGGAGAAGTCTCAGCACAAGGAAGAGCTGGGAGCAGTCCGACTAAGGCATGAAAAGGAGGTGCTGGGGGTGCGTGCCCGCTACGAGCGTGAGCTCCGAGAGTTGCATGAAGACAAAAAGCGGCAGGAGGAGGAGCTCCGTGGGCAGATTCGGGAGGAGAAGGTGGGTGGGTAAATTACAATGCCCTTCCTCCTCCAAACCTTGGGGACCACAGTGTTGTTGATGAGCCAATGAATGGCATGTGTGAGGTGCCTGGTCCTCAGCCTACCTTGCCCTGGATGCCCCTTCCAGGCCCGAACACGGGAGTTGGAGAATCTCCAGCAGACAGTGGAAGAACTTCAGGCTCAGGTACACTCCATGGATGGAGCCAAGGGCTGGTTTGAACGGCGCTTGAAGGAAGCTGAGGTGAGTTGGTGGTGCCCAGTGAGACATAGAGGCTGCTTATGGGGCACCCAGGCCAAACCAGGGGAGCAGAAGTGGTCAGGACCTAGAACTTTCTGAGACGTCCTGGACTTGTGTCTGTAGCCACAGTCCTACTGGCTCAATAGCAGCCTTCTAGAGTAGACTAAGGAATGGCCAACAGACAGGGCAAAATGTTAGGTGTGCAGTGCCACCCCGCCTTTGTGCAGATTTGAAAAGGCACCTGCTCTTCCTGGAATTTTACTTCTGTCAGGAAATTGTTGTGATATACTGATTTGATTTGAACAGAAGCTTTTATTGCCATTTTCTGGAAAACTCAGGACAATACATAAGAGGAAATGTCAAGCAGCAGTAAAGAGCACAGACCAGAGCCAGTTTGCCTGGGTTTGAATTCTGGCTGGGCTATTTGCTAGCTGTGTGTCCTTGGGCAAGTCATCTGACCTCTCTGTGACCTGTTCTCATATTTGGTAGAAAATGGATAACAATAGGGTCTGGGGCGTAGTTCAGTGGTAGAGTATTTGCTTAGGGTGCATGAGGACTTGGTTCAACTCCCAGCATAAATAAATAAATATAATGCCTACTGTCTAGGGATTATGGGAGGATTAGGGAAGATGAATTAATATATGCAAAACCCTTTGAATATTCCTGGCATGTAGTGTTATATTATGTGTTGTTAAATAAAAGAAAATGTAAATGCAAATCCAGAGTTATATGAATGGCACAGGCTTAAATGTAACACTTCTGCCTAAGGGCATGTGGTGTTCTCCTGCAAGAAGTTCTTTTCTAAATGCCTGAAGGGCCCCACTGCAGTATACCCTTAAACTGGGCATAATGTCTTCTGGGGGGCTGTGGCCAGACCCAGGACTTGTCTTGTAGGAATCTTTACAGCAGCAGCAGCAGGAGCAAGAGGAAGCCCTAAAGCAGTGCCAGGAGCAGCATATTGCTGAGTTGAAGGTGCTTCTCCTTTGATGATGTTCCTCTTTCCGGGTACTGAAGGGCCCTCAAGGGAGTACAGAGGCTTCCCAATCTGCAGCCTGAGCTACTCTCTGCTTTGCAGGGCAAGGAGGAGGAGCTACAGGGTCTACGCGATCAGCTTCAGCAGGCCCAGGAGGAGCGAGATGGCCACTTGAAGACCATTAGCAACCTGAAGCAGGTCAATGGTCCCTCTATGGCCCCAGACACACCCTTGGGTAAAGAGGGGGTGTGCCTCAGGCAGCTGTTCTGGGATCTGTCAGCCATGCTGCCTTTACCTGACAGGAGGTGAAGGATACAGTGGATGGGCAGCGGATCTTGGAGAAGAAGGGCAGTTCTGCGGTAAAATGGGGAGGTGCCCTCATACAGCCCTTTCCTGGCATGTATGCCCTTCCTTTCCCTATGGGCCCCCTGGCCCTCAACCCTCATCTTCCCCCTGTCCCTGCACAGCTGAAAGACCTCAAGCGGCAGTTGCACCTGGAGCGAAAACGGGCCGACAAGCTGCAGGAGCGGCTGCAGGACATCCTCACAAATAGCAAGAGCCGCTCTGGTGAGGCACCAGGACAGGAAGTGAAGGCTACGGTGCAGAGTAGCCAGGGCCTGGGCATATGGGTCCCGGGGACTTCTTGCACCTCCATTGATCCTGCTCTCTGGCTTCTTCTGTCTCTCTTGAACTCTGTTTCTTACCTGTTCTCTTCTGTTTCTTTCTCCCCCCCACTCTTTCCCTTTTTGTTTTCTCTGTTGTCTCTCCATGTTTCTGTGTTCCATTTGTTCCCTTTCCTCTTAGTTTGCCTTTATCTCCCTGCCTTCTTTCTCTACATCTCTCCTTTTCTGTTCCCCACTTCTTATTCTTTCTGTCCATTTATCTCATTCTTTCTCTATCCCCTCTCTCTGTCTGCATTCCCACTACCCCCACGTACACACTCCTATACCTCACTCGGTGTTTCTAAATCTGTTATATCCATTCTCTCCTTCTATAAATTCCCACAGTCAAGTCCAGGGTTCCTGAAACAAAGTCCCCTGATTTGCTCCCCTCTAGGAACTCCCAGTGGAGCTAGGGAGACAGACATCCATGCAAGCAGCAACATTGTACTGTTTATTATACAACCAAATCCAATTCATGTTATTTCTGCCACTTAAGGCAAAGACAGACATAAAAATTAGGTTTCTATTCACCTTTTTTAGATGGGGGTGGCCTATAAATACATTGAAATAAGTAAGATGCAGTGATGACTCTGTTGCATCTCTCAGATCACAGCCTCAGAGAAAACTCGCTCTCTTGTTCTCCTACTCAGGGTACATGTGGAACCTCACTCAGCACCCCTCCCATGCTAGAGAGCCCTTGGGGTGTGCTATTAACATACCCTTCCTGACACTGAGAAACAGCCACAAGAGCAGTGGCACAAATTCAATGCCCATGTTTTAAGTGACATGGCAAAATGAATGTTATCTCATTTCAAATCAATTTCTCTTTGAGGTACTCAGTTTCCTGAAGTCACCTCTTTATAACAGGAATTTCGTTTCTGTTTCTGTTTTGTTACAAATTAAGAGGCACAGAACAGATTAGAATGGTATACCATACCTCCATCTTGTCCATTAAATGGAACTGAGATCTAGATGCATGGCTATGAGTCTGTCTCCATCATTTTCTTTTTCTTAACAGTCTGGGGGTGGGACACAGGGGTGCTTTTACCACTGAGCTACATTGCCAGCCCTTTTTATTTTTTATATTGATACAGTGTCTCACTAAATTGTTGAGGGTCTTGCTGAATTGGTGATGCTGGTTTCAAACTTGTGATCCTCCTGCCTTACCCTTCTGAGTCACTGGGATTATAGATGCATGCCACCAAGCCTGGCTTCTCCATCATTTTTCTCTGCTCCATGTCTTTTGCCAGGGTCTTTGATCGTCTCCATCATCTGCTCTAGCTTCCTGTCCCTCTGGGGTTTTCTCTGTGTGTGAGTGTGCCCTATGCCCTCTCCAGGGTTCTGTTTTCCTTTCTTTATGCCCAACTCTGAGTGCTAATGCTACTTGAGGCCCAGGTATCCCCTATTTCTCCTGGCCTCTTTCACCTTGGCTCTCTTTTATTGTGTATATTTGCCAACTGAGACAGCTGTTTTTTGTTTTTTTTTTTTTTTTCATTGTCTTTCCCTGTCCTGTCTGCTTCTGACTTTCCCATGCCCTAGTGTGTCTCTTTGCCTCCTTCCATCTCTGTCAAATCTATTTTCTGCCTCTTCCTGCCAGTTGGTGCCCTGGGACCCAGGGGGTTGGGCTCAGTTACTCTTCCCTCCACTTTCTAGGCCTTGAGGAGCTGGTTCTTTCTGAGATGAACTCACCAAGCCGGACCCAGACAGGAGACAGCAGTAGCATCTCCTCCTTCAGCTACCGGGAGATCTTGCGGGAAAAGGAGAGCTCAGCTGTTCCAGCCAGGGTAAGGGACAAGGAAGAGTGTGCAATCCCAGTTTTTCTTGCCCAAAATCTGGAATTGGGGCATCCCCCTATTTTTTCCCTCACCTGCAGCCATCTACTCTGAGTCTAGCACAAGCATTTTTGTTTTCCTTCTTGGTGCTAGGATTTGAACCCAGGGCGTCGGGCATGTCAGCACATGCTCTACCACTGGAACTATAACCCAATCCCCTGGCACATGCATTTTTTTGACAAATTCTTCCCAATCTCATCAACTTGGATTGTTACATGGGAGACAGGCCAATCGTTTTCTCTCTTTGACCATCATGTTTCAGCATTTGTCAGCTAATTCCACCTTTCTGGGAGCCATAAAATATGTGGTGTGTAGTAAGTGTATCTACCCACGTAGGAGGTCCCTTCTTCCAAATCACACTTATTATTCATTATTATTGCTATCTGTTATGTCAGTTTCCTTGCTAGCCAGTTCTATGTGGAAATTTTTTTATCATATATATTTATATGATATATTTATATCATATACTATTTATATAGTATGTGTACATTATAAAATTAAAAAAAAAGTCGGTATGGTGGTGCATTCCAGTAATCCCACGTACTCAGGAGGCTGAGGCAGGAGGATAAAAAGTTCAAAGCTAGACTCAGCAACTTAGTGTGGCGTTGTCTAAAAATAAAAAGGGACTTGGGATGTAATTCAATGGTAAAGTGTCCCTGAATTCAATCCCTAGTACCAAAAAACAAAGAAACAAACAAAATAAAACAAACAAACAAACAAAAAAAAAAAAAACGAGTAAAGATTTTACCACCCCAAAGGTCATTATTATAAATTCTCAGTTCAAGTTGGGCACAGTGTTGCCCATCTGCAGTTCCAGCTATTCAGAAGGGCAAGGAAAGATCATTTGAATCCAGGAATTCAAGGCAAGCCTGAACAACATAGTGAAACCTTTATCTAAATAAAAACTTAGTTCATACCCTTCCAGATCCCTCATTTTAAAATCCTAAATGGAACTAAGAACATGTTTTGGTTCACCTGGTTTCTACCTTCCCAATTTTTAAAATTTTCATCTTATATAATACTCTAGTTTACCTTAATCATATTTCTCTAGTTGGCCCCAAAATGTTCTTTGTTGCTGTTTTTCTGAAAACTGAAAATCAGCATTCCATTTCAGAGCACATGTTACATCATCTCGTTATTTTCTCCCCCTTTAATCTAGTGTGGTGGTCTTTTTAATTTTTGGTACTGGGGATTCAACCCAAGGCACTGACGTGAGCACTGAGCCACATCCCTAGCCCTTCTTATTTTTGAGAAGGGGTCTTGCTACATTGCTTAGGGCCTTGTTAATTGCTCAGGTTGGCCTTGAACTTGTGATTCTCCTCAGTCTCCCAAGTCTCTGAGATTACAGGCAGCACCATCATGCCCAGCTTTCTTTTGGTCCCTTTTTTGTGACATCATCTTGGGAACAAACCAGGCCAGTTGACTTATAAGAAGTGTCCTACCTTTTGAATTTTTTTACTTGTTTACTAGTGGTGCTTTTTCAGCTCTCACCTCCATTTCCTGTTGGCTAAAAGATCTCATTTACTAATGTATCTCCCTTAATTTTCTCAGTAAGGCTCTGATGTGGTAGTTATTCTCTACCTGCCTTTAGACCAAGGGGAACACAGAGTTTCTGAGGGTGCCAAGACTGACCAACAGCTCCAGCCACAGGGCCCACACTTTCCCATCCAACTCCAGCTCCTGACTTGTGTCTGGGGTGGGCAGTGATGAATCTGGGACTGGTCACTATCTCCTCTTCCTTGCAGTCCTTATCCAGTAGCCCTCAGGCCCAGCCCCCTCGGCCAGCTGAGCTGTCAGATGAGGAAGTGGCTGAGCTCTTTCAACGGCTGGCAGAAACACAGCAGGAGAAATGGATGCTAGAGGAGAAGGTACTGTCTGTCTCTCTGCTTATCCCCATTTGAAGTGCTCTTGGCCGGGCAGTGAGGAAGGGTTCTGGTCAGGCCCTCCTCCTCTCCTCATGGGTGATCATGTGCAGTTGAGGGGTTTGATATGGGCTGGGCTATTTTGTAGGTGAAGCACCTGGAGGTGAGCAGTGCTTCCATGGCAGAGGACCTCTGCCGGAAAAGCGCCATCATTGAGACCTACGTCATGGACAGCCGGATCGGTCAGTGCCCCCTCCCGTGTCCTCACCCCTTGCCATCCAGCCTTTACTTGGCTCTCCAAGTACTACTTTACTCATTTTCCATGTATGCTGTGGCTTTTCTCTTCTTGGAACTCAGTGCATCTATTAACAAAATTACAACCCATGGAGAGGATAGCAAGGAAACTGTCTTTTTATCTTTCTTCCTCCCCTTTTCTGTGTGCCTGTCATTCCTTTACTCCCCATTCCTCTAATGTGCTTCTCTGGTCTTCTGTCTCCTTTCTTTTCACCATGTCTCAGCTTCCTCCTCTCTCTCCCTTCTGTTGTTTCCTTGTATCTTTTTTTTTTCTGACCCCTCTCCTTCACCTTCTCTTACTGGCTATATTGTTCTGCCTCCACAAATTTTAATTCTCTGTACTTTTTATTCTTTTTGAGGTTCTGATCTCTTCTCCCTCCTTCCTCACCCTCTCTTCCTCTCCCACCTGTCTCCTACCTTCTCTCCCCTTTGCTCTTCCTTTCTGTCTTTATTTCTTTTGCTCCTTCTTTCAAACCTTCTTCTCCCCCTGATTTTTCCTTAGCAGAACAATACCTACTGGCATGTGCTGAGGGTTTACTGTGTGCTCTATAATTTGCATTCTATGATTTAGATATTTATCCCCATTTTCAGGGTCACATCGCTAGTAAGTGACAAAACTTGGTTTCACATGTCAAAATCTCCACCCCCCTACATAACATGGCTTCTCTCCCTTCCCTCTCCTTTGCTCTGTTCCCCTCTTTTCACCTCTGGCTTTGCCCATCTCTCCTCCGGCTTTGCCGAGGGGGTAGTGCTCAGCTTGGGCCCTTGCAGATGTGTCTGTGGCAGCAGGCCACACAGACCGCAGCGGGCTGGGCAGCGTCCTGAGAGACCTAGTGAAGCCAGGAGACGAGAACCTTCGGGAGATGAACAAGAAACTGCAGAACATGCTGGAGGAGCAGCTCACCAAGAATATGCACTTGCACAAGGCGAGTGTAGCCTACTAGCCTCCCCATCTATCTAACCACATGTCTCCCTAGCCACAGAGCCCCAGGTCTTCTGCCAGTCCCTGTAGTCACTTACCCAGACTTTGTCCTCCCAGCCATTCTCCTATTCTTATATATACCACCCTTTCATGCTCCCATCTTTCATCTATCTAATCATCTTTCCCAGGTCTTCCAACCATTTCCTGACCTATCTTCTCTTTCCTCACTCACCCATTGTCTTACCTTGCCAACCTACCAGATGACTTGCCTCCCTACCTGTTGTTCTCCCTATGGCCTCTTTACAATGCATTTGTGCACCTGTTTGCCTGCCATAGATCCTTGATGTGTTTACCTACATGTCCATTGACCCATCTCTCTCACCCAAATATTCCCCCCATCTCTGGGGGATTCATAAAGGAGTCAGACCTAGCTCCTACCTTGGAGAAGCAAGTTCACATTTAGTAGAAGACAAGGTGGTGAGGGTGACAATTATATTCTCTGGCAGCACTGGGCCACAGCAGGTGACCCACTACATCTCCTTAGCTCCCATCTTCTCCATGCCCAGCCTTCTGTTGAAGGCTCTGTGAACTCCAAGAACCTTCCCAAACCAGGCCAGACACCATTGGAAATTAAGGAGCCTCCCCTACCTACTTCTCTGGCCCATTATGGCTTTTTTGTTTCTTAGGACATGGAAGTTCTGTCCCAGGAAATTGTACGACTCAGCAAGGAGTGTGTGGGGTCACCTGACCCAGACCTAGAGCCTGGAGAATCCAGCTAAAGACCTGCAGGCTGCATCCACTCCCTCCCCTTGTCACCTCCCAGGATGCTACTCCCTTGGGCTATGGAGGGAAATGGGGGCTGACACCAAAATCTAGTAGTTTGGGAGACTGGACATTAAAGGGGCTAGAGGCCTGATGGCTGGTGTTAATGACCTGGTCAAGGCAGAGGGCCCCCCCCCCCCCCCCGGGAGTGGAATCCCCAGGGAAGGGGTAGGGATTTCTCCTTGGCCCAGGCTCCCAGGGACATCTGCCTCCATCTCTGCATGAGCTCTCCCTCCCAGAGACCAACACTTTTTTATTTTATTTTTAATTTATGTTTGAAAGCCTGACTACTCTGCACTTGGGATTGGGGGTGTTGGGTGGGGGTGCGGTCTGTGTTCAGCGTTCTAGCAACGTGTATGTGTGTGTGCGCGTGTGTGTGTGTATAAAGGCTGTGCAGCCAAAATACCATCTGGCCAGACGGGCCCACCCACTGACTGTCTGGTCTCATTTTTTTTTCAATCAAGGGGGGTGTTCTGGGGGTCAGAAGGTCACTCTGTTGCATTGGGGAGGGAGTTCTATGACTGCAACTTTATTCTTTCCTCCAACCTCAACTCACTTGTCACCTGACCAACCTCTCAAACTAAGTGGAGCATAAATATCTGCAGATATAATTATGTGGGTAGATGTGCATGGGGTTGTGGTATAGATCAGTGGACAGATGGGAGGATGGATAAGTGGTTGGATGGACTGATGATAAATAAGTGGAAGTTTGCATGGATCAATTTTGGCTAAGTTGGGAAATGGATGGGTGGATCAGTAAGTGGATAGCTAGAGAATGGGTAAGTGGATATATAAATGGACAGATGATGTATAGATGGACAAATGGTTGAGTGGATGAATTTGGTATGTAGATGGATGGTTGGATTTATGAACAGGTTGGGAATAAACTCATGGATGAATAAGGGACTGTATGGATGGATAAGCTAACGAATAGGGAGGGTAAAGAGTGGGTGCATAAGTGATGAGTGATTGGACAGATGAATGGATACTGATACATATGGATAGGTTGGTGAATAGTTGGATAGGGTGAACATACAGATGGATGAGCAAGTGGGTTGGTGGATTAATGGCTAAATAGGTGGAGGGGTGGGTAGAGTGATTGCTTATGTAGATGGGAGGGTGGACAAATCAAGAGTGTGATAAGTGAGCAAATGGAGGAATTCAATGGGTTGGTAAATTGATTGAAAGGCTATCCTGAGTTACTGTGCCCTCATCACACAATTTTAGTTACCTAAGATTAGAAATCATCTGTGCCAGGCCCTGTGCCATCCCCTTTCATATCATTTCAATTAATGCTCCAAATGACACTGTCAAGTAGGGATAACTCCATTCTGACAGCCAAAGAAACAATGCAAGGCATTTCTCAAGGACATAGCAAATGTGGCAAAGTTTTGAGTTTGAACCCACCTATGCTTGCCATAGACTTCATACTCTGTGCTCCTGCCGCCCAGGAGCAGAGCCCTCTAGAGGATGTGATGTGATTTGCAGTCACTGGATGTGCACAGATAAGGGCTCCTGCCCCCTTGGCGTGAAACCTGCCTGGACTGGGGGGTGGGGCCTGAATTGTCCCTGTCTGCACTCCCTGTACCCCACATTTCATATCGCAAGACAGTGGAAGATTCATGCTCCAGTCCCATGATGGAAGTTTAAAATTGGGGCTGTGGCACACTCCTAGGGGGTGGCTTTAACGATCTGTCCATCTGGAGAGAGACAGCCCCCACCAATAACCCTCGCACCCCAGTTTCTCCTGCCCTTCCACAGCCTGGGGGGCAGGGAGGGGACACAGCGCTGCATCATTCCCCATGGCACTCCGCTCTGGGGCCATTAACAGACGCCTCCCCATCGATCGGATCTGCTAAGTGCTGCTGATTCAGGCGGGTGGGGGTGGGGGCTCCTGGGGGTAGAGGGGGTAGGAACTGGGCAGGAAGAGGGGGGAGTCCAGGAAGGAGGTGGGGAGAACTGGCAAAGCTCCCTGCCACCCCCATTTTCCAGATGACGCGACTGAGGCCCAACCAGCTTTGTAGGAGGCGGAGTCTCCCCAGGGTCCCTCTCAGTCTGCCCTAGGGGAGGGGGCTCTGGGAGCCACGAGGCCCCTCCCTGCCTTTCCATCTCCCGGCAAGCTCAGAGGGGCGGGGAGAGAGCCGGAGGAGGAGGAGGAGGAGGAGGAGGAGGAGGAGGAGGAGGAGGAGGAGGAGAACTCAGGCAGCTCTGCAGAGGGGGCCAGCAGCTCCGGTGTTTGGTACCCCCAGCCCCATCGCCGTTGCTGCTGCTGCAGCGGGGACACAGGTGAGGACGCCCTATGGGGAGTGGGAGGGGGCCGCCAAGCACTGTCCTTGTCCTTCCCTGGTCCAGCCCCCACACCCTAACCCATCTTGGGACAGTCCCCAGGGATCCCACTGGACCTTGTCCTTCCACAGCCTCCTTCCAGGGACCCAACCCCCTCCCCTGCCTGTGCCGCCTTCCCTCCTAGGCCTGGCTGTGGCTGCCTTTCTTCCTCCTCCTCCTCCTCCTTCTCCTGCCGCCGCCGCCGCCGCCGCCGCCGCTGTTGCTGCTGCTGCTGCTGCTGCTGCTGCTGCTGTTGCTGCTGTCTAGCACACACCGCCAGCCCCTGGGGTGTGGTTTCCCCAGACCTGCCCCCATCGGTGGGACCCAGCCTTCTCCAGCCTCTCCTGCCTGTCTCCTGCAAGGTTCAGCAGCCCCCACCTCCCTGGAGACACACCCAACTCCCTTTCAACACCCCCACTGTTCTCTCCAACCCATTTTTGGGGAAATCTTTGTGCCCAACTTCAGTCCGGTTGAATCCCAGCACCTTAGGGTTCCCCAGGCCCCTCTTCTCTTCTCCCAGAACTCTTTAGAGTGTGGACCAGGCTTCCTCTGCCCCTTTAGATATCCCCCTCACCCAGATATCTACAGTCCTCTTACAAAATAATCCAGTCCCATAACTACCTCTTTAGCTACCCCATTCCATTTCCAGCCCCACTAGGGGGCCCTCACTTCTTCTGCTTTCCCTAGAACTCCTGTAATATGTAGACAACACCCCCAGGCTATTCTTGGCAGCTCTAGGCACTCCCAAGACACTTTTCAGCCTCTTTACAACCTCCTGGCTCTACAGCCACCCTTGAGAAGCACCAGCCCCTTTTCAGATCCAATGAGGGTGCTTCAACCCCCTTATCTTTACCCTAGAAGTCTTGAGGGTGTGGATGACCCTCCTCACCTTTCTCAGCCCCTCTAGAACCAGCCCCCAGGCACACTCAGCCTCTTTCAAGCACCTCTGATCCCATTTGCACCCCTCTGGATGCCCCAATTTCCTCTCCAAACTGGCTAATGGGTTCCAGACCTATTTTTCCTTCCCTGAGAACTCTTGAGAGTGTTGAGAGCTCCCCACTTGTTTCTCGGTCCCTCTAGACACCCCCAAACATCTCTCAGGCACATGCTGACCCCACTAGAATCATCTCTCTCTAAAGATCCTGGGGATCCTTCTTGTCCTCTCTGATCTCCTTAAGCCCTTATTAGTCCCTCAGGACACCACAAGGGCCCCTCCTAGACCCTCTAAATGCCCCCTAAGCTCCTGCCCATCTCTCTAGTTCCTCCTCCTCGTTCCTCTTGGCCTCTCTAGACACCCCCAGTTTCCTTGTCCGGGTGGCCCAGGGCCTCTCCAAGCCCCCACCATCCTGGAGACAGCCACATTCTCCTAAACGCCACCCCCCCAAGTCTCCGTGGGCCTGGGGAGCCGCAGGATGGCGGCAGGCGTGGCCACGTGGTTGCCCTTTGCACGGGCGGCCGCTGTGGGCTGGCTGCCCCTTGCCCAGCAGCCCCTGCCCCCAGCGCCAGGGGTGAAGGCATCTCGAGGGGATGAGGTTCTGGTGGTGAACGTCAGCGGCCGGCGCTTCGAGACCTGGAAGAACACACTGGATCGCTACCCAGACACATTGCTGGGCAGTTCTGAGAAGGAGTTCTTCTATGACGCGGACTCTGGCGAGTATTTCTTTGATCGCGATCCGGATATGTTCCGGCACGTGCTGAACTTCTACCGAACTGGCCGGCTACACTGCCCACGCCAGGAATGCATCCAAGCCTTCGATGAAGAGCTGGCCTTCTATGGCCTGGTCCCCGAGCTTGTGGGCGACTGCTGCCTTGAAGAGTACCGGGACCGCAAAAAGGAGAATGCTGAGCGCCTGGCTGAGGACGAGGAGGCTGAGCAGGCCGGGGATGGGCCTGCCCTGCCAGCAGGCAGCTCCCTGCGGCAACGGCTCTGGAGGGCCTTCGAGAACCCACACACTAGCACTGCAGCGCTGGTTTTCTACTATGTGACTGGCTTTTTCATCGCAGTGTCGGTCATCGCCAATGTGGTGGAGACCATCCCGTGCCGCGGCCCTGCACGGCGGCCACCAAGGGAGCAGCCCTGTGGTGACCGATTTCCGACAGCCTTTTTCTGCATGGACACGGCCTGTGTACTCATATTCACGGGAGAATACCTCCTGAGGCTTTTTGCTGCCCCTAGCCGTTGCCGCTTTCTGCGGAGTGTCATGAGCCTCATCGATGTGGTGGCCATTCTGCCCTATTACATTGGGCTTTTTGTGCCCAAGAATGATGATGTCTCTGGTGCATTTGTCACCCTGCGTGTGTTCCGTGTTTTCCGCATTTTCAAGTTCTCCAGGCACTCCCAGGGTTTGCGGATTCTGGGCTATACACTCAAGAGCTGTGCCTCTGAGCTGGGCTTTCTCCTCTTTTCCCTCACCATGGCCATCATCATCTTTGCCACTGTCATGTTCTATGCTGAGAAGGGCACCAGCAAGACCAACTTTACCAGCATCCCTGCGGCCTTCTGGTATACCATTGTCACCATGACCACACTTGGGTGAGTGCAGATCCTGTGTTGGGAGCTGCACAATTACACTCACGTTTTCTATAAAATCAGAAAGGTTAGATGAATGATCTCTTTTTATTTTCTTTGTGGTGTTAGAGATCCAACCCAGGGCCCTCACACATGCTAAGCACATGCTCTACCACTCTCTCTCTTTTTGAGCTTTAGTTTGCCCATCTGTAAAACTGGGGGAGTTGGATTTAATCTTCACATCCAAGCTTTGACCATCCTTGATTTTCCAGGTCAGGAGACTTGGGGGTCAATGATTGTCTTAGCTGTCTTTCTGTTGACATTTTCTCAGAGCCTCAGTTTCTCCCTCTATAAAGTGGGAAACAATGATTCCTTTTATCACCTAGAGAGAATTCAATGGCATCATGGTTGCAAAAGTTATTTGAATGTTTCTGGTGCAGGATAAATAGGTATTGGCTTCCTATCAACCATTTTTTTCTTTTTTTGTAGGGGTGTTGGGGATGGAACCCAGGGCCTCACATACGCTAGGCAAGCACTCTACCACTCAACTACACCCAACCTTTTTTTTTTTTTTTTGGTACCACAGATTGAACTCAGGGGCACTTAACCACTGATCCACATCCCCAGCCCTTTTTATATTTTATTTTGAGACATGGTCTTGCTAAGTTGCTTAGGTCCTCACTAATTTGCTGAGGCTGGCTTTGAACTTGCGATTGATCCTCCTGCCTCAGCTTCCTGAGCCACTGGGATTACCGGCATGTGCCACCATGCCTAGCCACCCCAACCCTTTTAAAAATATTTTCTTTGGGGGCTGGGGATGTGGCTCAAGCAGTAGTGCTCTTGCTTGGCATGTGTGTGGCCCAGGTTCAATCCTCAGCACTACATAGAAACAAAGATGTTGTGTCTGCTGAAAACTAAAAAAATAAATAAAATTAAAAAAAAACTTAAAAAAATATTTTCTTTTGAGACAGAATCTCTAAGTTGTTGGTACTAGGAATTAAACCCAAGGGTAAACTGCTGAACTACTACATCCCTAGTCCTTCTTTAAAAAAATTTTTTTTTGAGCCTGGGTCTTCCTAAGTTGCTTAGGGCCTTGCTAAATTGCAAAGGCTGTCCTGAAACTTCCAATTCTCCTCCCTCAGCCTCCAGAGTTGCTAGAATTACAGAAATGCACCACCACTCCCAGACCTCATTAGGTTCTTTTAGATTTTGCTTTTGTTTTTTTCTCAGTATAGGGATTGAACACAGGTGGTGCTTAACCACTGAGCTATATCCCCAGCCATTTATATTTTTTGAGACAGGGTCTTGCTAAGTTGCTTAGTTGCTTAGGGCCTGCTGAGGCTGGCCTAGAACTAGCCATCCTCCTGCCTCATCTTCCCGAGGGCTGGAATTACAGGATGCACCACCACACCTGGCCCTCATGAGACTTTTTTTTTTCCTCATGAGGTTCTTTTTTTGGGGGGTGGAGGGATACCAGGGATTGAACTCAGGGGCACTCAACCACTGAGCCCCATCCCCAGCCCTATTTTATATTTTATTTAGAAACAGGGTCTCACCAAGTTGCCTAGTGCCTCACTTTTGCTGAGGCTGACTTTGAACTCGTGATCCTCCTGTCTCAGCCTCCTGAGCCACTGGGTCACCGCGTCCAACCCTCATGAGGTTTTTAAAGGCATTGTTTGGGGCAGATGCTGTGATCCTTCTTTAAAAAAATTATATATATATATATATATATATATATATATATATATATATGTGTGTGTGTGTGTGTGTGTGTGTGTGTGTGTGTGTGTGTGTATACACACACACACACATATTGTGGGTGAGTCTTTATTTTTATTTATTTATATGTAGCGCTGAGAATTGAACCCAGTGCCTCCCCCATGCTAGGAAAGCACTCTGACATTGAGCCACAACTCCAACCCCTGTGATCCTTCTTTAAGTTTCCATCAGTGGGATTAGATATATTGTTGGTGTCCTGCATTGGTTGAATGAATGACTGAATGAATTGGCCTTGCTCAGTGTCTTACTAGAGGTACAGAAAAATTGATTTGGGGTTTCTAAGGAGTAGAAATTAATTCTGGTTGGAGGTTTGGGATTGGATCAACAAAAAATATTGAGCCCTGACAGTGATTTGGCACTGGGTATTTTGGTGCCTTTTATCCTATTCAGTCCTCACAACAACCCTGTGAAGGTGGATGGCTGCCCATGTCTCATAGTGAGACACAGTCTGAGATGACACATCACAAGAGACAGAAATGGCCAAGTTGGAGAGACTTTGGAGCACAATCCTGAATACTTAAAATGAGTCAAAACACAGAAATAAGGAAAAGCCTTCCTAGGGCACAGCCTAAGCAAAGGCCTAGAAACTTAAGATGCAGAGGCTGTGTTTCTATAGAAGAGATCTAGTTGGTCCTGTGGTTAGAACAAAAGTGTGCTGTGTGTGATCCTGGGCAACTATGGAAATTCCCTGAGCTTCATTTTCCCCCTCTGTAAAACACGTCAGTAAGGTGGAGTCTGCTGCACCTCCTGGGGAGGGAGTATGGCATGGAGGAAGGCAGGGGCAGTTTCAAGGTTCCTCTCTACTTTTTTGTAGGAGTTCAGTTTCAAGGCTTCCCCTGGAGGGAATCAGAAGGGGTCCTACCTAGAGAACAGAGAGGCAGGCAAAACCAACAGAATATTCCCTCAATGGTGCAGAGCTCCTTAGGTGGCCTGTGGTAGTGGAACTCTGTCCCCAAGGAGCTACATTTATTGCCTGTGACTCCCCTGGTCTCCCCTCTGCTTGGTATTATTAGATTTCCAGCTAACTTGGCTGTCCAGTGCACAGCTCTGATGGGGGCAGCAGATGATAGAGGCTAAGGGCCAGCCCCATGTCTTATTTGACACCCCCTATTGGCCAGAGAGGTTATTATCCACATTTTGCAGAGCAAGAAACTGACAATGGGGGCTGCGGATGTGGCTCAAGAGGTAGCGCGCTCGCCTGCCATGCGTGCGGCCCGGGTTCGATCCTCAGCACCACATACAAACAAAGATGTTGTGTCCACCAAAGATTTAAAATAAATAAATAAATATTTAAAAAAAAAAAAAAAAAAAAAAAAAAAGAAACTGACAATGAGTCTAAGTGCCTGGACAGGGTCACAGTGAGTCAGGGTTGAATGGGATGGAGTTGGGACAGAGAGGTGGGTGAGCACATTTCTTGACTTTGGCCTACCTCCCCCTTCCCCCAGCTATGGAGATATGGTGCCCAGCACCATTGCTGGCAAGATTTTTGGGTCCATCTGCTCACTCAGTGGTGTCTTGGTCATTGCCCTGCCTGTGCCAGTAATTGTGTCCAACTTTAGCCGCATCTACCACCAGAACCAACGTGCTGACAAGCGCCGAGCGCAGCAGGTAACTGCATCTTGCATCTGAGCATCTCTTATTCTTCACACCTTAATCTGGACTACACTTGGACTCACCCACCTGGCCCTTTGTTTCCTTTTCTTTTTGTAGAAGGTGCGCTTGGCAAGGATCCGGTTGGCAAAGAGTGGAACCACCAATGCCTTCCTGCAGTACAAGCAGAACGGGGGACTTGAGGTGGGTAGGGGCCCAGATTGGATTTATGGGTAAGAAATGATGTGCAGAGGGAGGTGCTGACCTTCTCTCTCTGCTCTGCCCACCCCAGGACAGCGGCAGTGGGGAGGGACAGGCGCTGTGTATCAGGAACCGTTCTGCTTTTGAGCAGCAACATCACCATTTGCTACACTGTCTAGAGAAGACAACGGTGAGGCCTAATGAGAAGTGGTATGTAGGAAGGAGGGGGTCCCTCTGCCACCAAGTCAGTCCCCTTCCTGGGATGGGAGGTTTCTACTAATTGTAGAAATCACATGGAACTTCCTGGGAAAGGCTGAGCAAGGGAAGGGAAGAGAATGATTTCCATAAAGGAGAGAACAGCCTGAGCAATAGCCTGGGATTGGGAATATCTCCCATGGGGTGTCCTGTGACTCTGCCTCCTTTCTCCCTACAGTGCCATGAGTTCACAGATGAACTGACATTTAGTGAGGCTCTGGGAGCAGTCTCGTTGAGTGGCCGCACCAGCCGTAGCACCTCTGTGTCCTCCCAACCAGTGGGGCCTGGCAGCCTGCTATCATCTTGTTGCCCACGCAGGGCCAAGCGCCGTGCCATCCGCCTTGCCAACTCCACCGCCTCAGTTAGTCGCGGCAGCATGCAGGAGCTGGATACGCTGGCAGGGCTGCGGAGGAGCCCTGCCCCTCAGAGGTAAGCACCCATCCCCTGGCCACAGCTGGTGAAGTGTAGAGTTTGGGCCAGTGGGTTTGAGATTTCTTTACTCAAGGCCTACCAAATCAGGCTCAAACACAAACTCTTCCATGTGGGGATCTTGGGCTTAATTTTTCTGGAACTCCTCATTCTTCATTACATCTTTCAAATATTTATTGAGCAGCCAGACATGGCAGTGGCACATGCCTGTCCTCCCAGCCACTTGAGAGGCTGAGGAAGGAGGATGGGGAGTTCAAAGCCAGCCTCAGCAATTTTGGGAGGCCCTAAGGAACTTAGTGAGACTCTGTCTTTAAATAAAAGGGGCTAGAGATGTTGCTCAGTAGTTAAGTGCCCCTGGGGTCAATCCCTGGTACTATTAAAAAAAGGACTAAGGATGTAGCTCAGTGGAATCAGCCCCCAGCACCAAAGAAAAAGAAAAAAGGGACTGGGTATATAGCTCAGTGGTAGAGTACTTGCTTAACATGCTCAAATCTCTGGGTTCAATCTCCAGCACTGAAAAAAAAAGTAAAAATAAATCTTTGTCTTGAGCTCAGGGTGTGGCTCAGAGGTAGAGTATTTACTTAAAATACAGGAGTCCTTGGGTTACATCCCAAGCACTGTGAAAAAATTTTGCCCTTTGGGAACTTACATTCTATTGTGAGATATTTATAAAAATACAGATCACATAGTGTGTCAAATATGTAAACATCAAGGGAAAAATAAATCATGGATGCCATCTAGAGAGTGCAGAGCAGCAGTAATGAAGTTTGTTTTTTTTTAAATGTATTATTATTGTTGTTGTTGATATTAGTATTATTACTACAGTAATCAGGATTGAACCCAGGGTCTCACACTTGTCAGACAAGTGCTCTACCACAGCCTCCCCCCACTCGCTGTCTGATGCATTTTTTTTTTCCTTGGTTTCTTTAGGTGATATCAGGGATTGAACTCAGGGGCACTTAACCACTGAGCCACATCCCAAGCCTTTTTTTTTCACTTTTTATTTTGAGACAGGGTCTCACTAGGTTGCATATTGCCTCACTCAATTGCTGAGGCTAGCTTTGAACCAGCAATCCTCTTGTCCCAGAGCCACTGGGTTTAGAGGCTTGCTTCACCACACCTGGCTGATGCAGTTTCAATAATGTGGTCAAGGAAGGCTTTACTAAGATGGCATCTGTGCCAAGGCCTGAAGGAAATGAGGGAATGAGCCATGCAGATATCTACAGGAAGAGCTTTCTAGGCAGACGAACAGCCCATGTGAACGCTGCAAGGAAGCTACTGTAGGTGGAGTGAATAAGAGACAGAATGGGAGGTTGGCAAGTCAGAAAGGAATGAAGACATGGTTATATAGATTCTAGCGTAGACTCCTGCAAGGACTTTGGCATTGTTAGGCATAAGAATAAGAAAAAATACTCATGTGGGCTGGGGGTGTAACTCAATGGTAGAGTGTGTGCTTAGCATGCACAAGGCCCTAGGTTTAATTCCCAGCACCACACATCAAAAAAGTGTGTGTGTGTGTGTATGCACGCACCCGTGCTCCAGCTTGTGTGTGTGCACTCATTATGATCCATGCACTACTCTGAATACTTTGTATCATTTATTCTCAATTCTCATTGAATCTCCACAACCCCTCAAAGTAGGGAATATTGTTATTTCCATGCTACAGATGGGAGTTTCAGTATGGTAAAGGGGCTCAGGACTTGAATCCAGGACTGACTCCAGAGCCCTTCCTCTCCACCACCATAATTAAGGATGCAGGGGAACACTTAGCTCAGAGACAGTCAGTGTTCAATAAATGCCACAATAGATATGGCAATTAATCAAGATGACTTTTTTAAGAGCCTTCCATCTTCCTCATCCCTGTCCACAGCCGCTCAAGCCTCAATGCCAAGCCCCATGACAGCCTTGACCTGAACTGTGACAGCCGGGACTTTGTGGCCGCCATTATCAGTATCCCCACCCCTCCTGCCAATACACCAGATGAGAGCCAACCTTCCTCCCCTGGTGGTGGTGGCGGCAGGGCCAGCAGTACCCTCAGGAACTCCAGCGTGGATACCCCCTGCCTCCTCCCTGAGACTGTCAAGATTTCTTCCCTGTGAAGTATGGGCCTGCTCATTCAGAGGGCCCTATTTTTTCTTGGGGGAGTCCTTTCCAAAGCCATATTTTGGGGAGGCAGAGAGGGACAGGCCTGGGGACCCCTTCTGCCCCCTTCTGAGAACTATGCAATTAGGTTTTATGGAATGGCCCACTTGGTAATGGGAAACTTGCCCTCTCCCAGTCTTCTTGGTGGGAGCACTGGGCTTCCACAGGCCTCCAGCCTCCTTCCTCTAACACACACTGGGACCGGCCCCTCTCCTCTAGCTGGTCTCCTGCATGCTCCTCCCCATGGGTCTTTGGAGGTAGGTAAAGTTCCTGTCTTAATATCTGAGCTCTGGCTTGACAAAGATTTGAGATTTCATCTTCTCTCTGACCAGTCTGTAGAGGTTTGGGGGTTCAGAGACGGAAACCCTCACTCTTGATCTGACCTCTAGGAGAGGTCCTTTCTCTCTACCAGGCCCAACAGTTCCCCAATTCTGAAGCTTGGAATGTAACCATGGACTTTGTGAGCTGTGGCCTCAGCAGTGACCTGTCACCCCCTGGCCCCCGGTTGAGGGGTCAGGCTACCTCTCCCAACATACAGATAGCACAAACATCACTGCAACTTCCCTGGCTGCTGGAAATGGGTCCCCTGCCATCCTGTCCTCTGTTGGGTCCTCAGCAAATTCTAGCAATAGCAGCTGCTGCCATGATGATATGCAAAGCCTCTTACCAGTTTGCTGCAGCATTTACATCTGCCCTGATCAGATGGGCCACCTCTAACTAGTACTCCTCTCTTCTCTGGTTTGCTTCCTTCCTGGGTTGGGCTAAAGTCTGGACTGGCCGAGATAAGAACCCGGCAGCTAGCAAGAGCTGGGCTGCATTTGGTGATCATGGACCAATTCCATGTTCTTGGGGAGGAGTCCAGAAGCATCAGGGGCTGAGACCTGGGTTGTTCTGAACTCTGGGAGGTGTAGGAGGCAGGAGGAAATACCTAACCACCTCCTCCTCCCTCGTAACTCCTTTTCATATATTCTTCTCTCTTTTCCCTCTTGGGTCACCTTCCAGAACTCTGCTCTCAGGCTGAAATCTGGCATCATCTCAGGTTCCCTGTCCCCAGTACTGTCCCCGTGGAGCTGGTGGCTGACAAAGATGTAGTTTCCATCAATAAAACCTGAGAGGAGAAACGAAGACTGAACACTTCCTAACTCTGTGGGTTTGGGGGCTGGGTTGGAATGGGGGGTTGAAACCACTCTGATCTTACTTCCTTGCAAAAGTGGAAGGGCTGGTGTGGGTAAAGGTGTGGGAGGTGAATGGCTGGTGATAAAGTCTGGAAGATGAGGATCTAGAAGAAATGAGAGAGGGTGGTTTGAAGAGTAAATCTACAGCCAGTGGGAACAGGCCAGGGAGTCCTAAGACATTGTCCTTGGCCATCTTCTGCTCCAGCTCCCTCATTCACAGATGGGGAAAACACAATTCATGTCAGCACAAAGTGGACTTAACATCCTGGCAGCAAACAACATTAAATTTAACCCTAATAAAAGCATCTCTCAGCTTGGCAAATTTCCCTTCCTTGTGGGCATTTCCTGCACTCTTTTTTTTTTAATATACTGATGGACCTTTATTTATTTATTTATATGTGGTGCTGAGAGTCCAACCCAGTGCCTCACACATGCTAGGAAAGTGCTCTACCACTAAGCCACAACTCCAGCCCTCCTGCACTCACTCTTCTGGGCTACTGGCTCCACTAGAGTAGTGTGACTGAGCTCCACAGAGCACCAAGAAGACAGACCTTATATTCAGGTCAATGTGTTCCAATCCCTGGATGAGAGAATCACTTACTTTCTCTTGTGCCAGGTTGCTAATCTGTGAAATAGAGATAACAATTCATTTATTCACCAAATATTGATTAAATTCTCATCATGTGCCAGCCCTAGGGTGCAAAGATGGACAAAACAGACATTGTCTCTGATGTATAGAGTTGAACATGTAAGAGAGACAATTAGGCAATTAAAACAGTGTGATAGAACTAAGATGAATGTATTATAGAAGCATGTAGACAGCAAGGGAAAATAATCTGGCCAGCAAACAAGGAAGAAGTTGGAGTCAGCCAGGCAAAAGATGAAAGGCTGGACATGTAGGCTGAGGAACAGCATGTGCAATGACCTGGAGGTTAGAGTGCAAGCTTGGAGGCTTCAGGGAACTGAAAATAGTTGTCTGGCTGGAGAGGGGAAGAAGGAGGGAGAAAAAAAGCCAGATAGATCACTATGGGCCTTCAAAGCTAGGAGACAGATTTGAGAGGATGATGGGGACTCCTGAAAGTGTAGAAATAGGAAAGTCCTGATGAGGTTTGTGTTTTAGAAAGATCATTGTGTCTGTGGATGGTGAATTACAGAGAATTCTCTAATTGAGAAAGAACAGTGAGGAGGCTTTTGTGGTGATAGGGAAGGGTGGCTTGGATAAGAGTTATGGGAGGGGGCTGGGGATGTGGCTCAAGCGGTAGCGCGCTCGCCTGGCATGCGTGTGGCCCGGGTTCGATCCTCAGCACCACATACAAATAAAGATGTTGTGTCCGCCGAAAACTGGAAAATAAATTAAAAAAAAAAATAACAAGAGTTATGGGAGCAGAATTGGAGCATAAGAAATTGGAAGGTAAAATGGGCAGGATTTGGGATTAATAGGCTTGTGAGTGTTAGAGAAGAGGGAGTGGTCACGGTTGACTCCTACCTCTTGGGCTTAAGCAATGGCTGGCTAAGGGTGATGTTTTCTGTCAAATGGACCATCAAAGCTGTTAATGTACAGTGCCAGGCACATGGTAACTGGCAATTGGCTGCAAATAAATATTATGAGTTCAGTTTCTTTTTTCTGCCCCCCCCATTTTGGTACCAGGGATTGAACCCAAGGGCACTTAACCACTGAGCCACATCCTAAGCCCTTTTTTTTGAGACAGGGTCTCATTAGTTTGTTTACAGCCTCACTAAGTTGCTTAGGTTGACTTTGAACATGTGATCCTCCTGACTCAGCCTCCAAAGCTGCTGTGATTACAGGCATGCACTACCATGCCTGATTTCAGATTCTTTTCTTTTTTCTTTCTTTCTTTCTTTCTTTTTTTTTTTTTTTTTTTGATGGATCTTGCTAAGTTGCTCAGCCTGGCCTCAAACTTGGGATTCCTCCTGCCTCAGCCTCTTGAGTAGTCAGGATTACAAGCATGTGTCACCATGCCTGGCTATGAGTTCAGTTTTATTTTTAATTTTATTAGTATTATTATTTGTGGTACTGGGGATTCAACCAGAACCAGGGCCACTTTACCACAGAACTTCATCTCCAGCCCATTTTAAAAAATTCTTTGAGACAGAGTCTCCATTGCTAAGGGTCTTGCTAAATCTTCAAACTTGTGATCCTTCACCTCATCCTCCTGAGTCTCTGGGATTTCAGGCATGTGCCACCACACCTGGCATGAATTCAGTTTTAGATGGGTAGTAGAAAGTGGGATATTGGGGTCTGGAGTGAAATGACCATGAGAAGATTCAATGTAATGTGCACAGGCATTTGGGACAAGGCCCTAAACACAACAGTCCCAGTAAATGTAAGTCCCCTCTTCCCATTAAGTCTCATGAGCAGAAAACACCACTAGGGCCCAGTTATTACTGCCACCTTTGTGGGGAGAACTTCTGTTAAAGTCAACACCTGAAGGAAGAAGGTTAGGTGGTACTCAGAAAAGGTTTAGGATGGTTTTACTTTAAATCAGGTGTGTGGCTTTGCTCTTAAGAATGGCAGGGAGCCCTCACCTCTCACAATGCCTTTCTTAGTTTATAAACTCATTTGAATAATTCCATAACTATTTCCTAAGGTAGTCTGGGAAGACATTTCCAACTTTTCAGATGGGTAATCTCAAGAGACAATGAATTTGCACGATGTCATACTGTTCATAATGGACAATCTGTGCCTGGAACTAAGGTCTTCCTGACCCCAAAGCCAGGGATCCTCGCACTGTACCACCATGCAGACTTACTGAGCACTTTCTATATGTCAGGTACAACATCAAACCATTAACAAGCGTGAGTTTCTGATCTTAAATTGGAATTACTGTCATTTTTCTATTTCTATGAAGAAGTAGAAATTCAGAATGTAGTGGGTGTTAAATGAGTTGCCAAATATCAGACTGGTTACGATGAGCCAGAAGTGCTCTAGCCGCTCAACAGAAGGGATTTTGCAGTCCCACTGCGAGACGCTGGCCGGTGACAGAGCTGGTTCATAAATATTTTCCTAAGCAAACTCAATTTGGGGGCGGGGGACGGGAAGGGGGAAAGAGGGCTTTACCGCGCCTGCGCACCAGCCATAGGTGCGGAGAGGTCAACACCAGGGCGAGAGGGCGGAGGTGCCAGAGAAGGCGTCTGTTTCACAAACACCCACTGTCCCCACGGTGCACGCCTGTCCCAGGATTGGTCTGTCTGACGAGAGTGACTGCGTCTCTTAACCAATCACAGCAGGGCCCATCCTGTTGCCAGGGTGAAGTGACGCCCGCCTCTTCTGCGGAAGGAGACTTGCAGGTGGGTGGGACAGGAAGTGATGTTACAAGGGAATGCTAAGCTCTGGGAGTGTTGATATTTTCCAGTCAGTCCGGCCGACTGCATTCAAGTTGGAAGCCTGGAGGGGAGGCGCTTTTGTGCGCAGGACAGGCTACGTTGTTCTTTCGCAGTACCCACGCCTGCGCGTCAGAGCCTCGCGGAGAGAAGTGAAGAGCAGAACCAGATCAACAAGAAGAAAGGCTGGGAGAAAGGGTGCCGACTTTGAAATTTGAGACGGAGGGCACGGGAGGGCGAGCACAAGCTTCTGATTGGCCCGCGGGCGTCATCGAGGACCCACGCAGCTCCTTCGATTGGTTGGTGTCCGCAATTGTTGTGGCGGCGGCGGCGATTTTGCCCACGTAGTTCCGAGCAAGGGGCGGGGCTGCGCTCTGGCGCGCGTGCGCAGCTCCCCGGGGCCCCACCCGGTAGTTCAAGAACCTGCGAGGGGGCGGGGCGAAGAGGTGCTTGTTTTGGTCCTGTTTCCTTTGAAGCAGAAGGCCAGAAGGAGCAGCAGTAAACTCGCTGGACTCGGAGAGAAGGCTGCGACAAACTTGCCGCCGTGCCTTCATCTTGGACTTCACATCCGGGTTCTCCGGGCGTGACTTGCGCACCGCCGACGGTTCTCGAACCGGTGCCGCGATCTCTTTATCCGGGTCTCGCTGTTCCCGTCGTGCTTCGCGCACTACAGGAGCCCCCTCATCCGGGTTCTCTCCCGGCGTGCCGCGCGCCGGGTTTGCTGGGGGGTACTCGGCGGTGCCGCCATGACTATTCTCCCCAAAAAGAAGCCGCCGCCTCCCGACGCCGACCCCGCCAACGAGCCGCCGCCGCCCGGGCCGCTGCCCCCGGCGCCGCGGCGCGGCGGGGGTGTGGGCGTGGGCGGCGGCGGCACCGGCGTGGGTGGCGGCGATCGTGACCGTGACTCGGGCGTCGTAGGGGCCCGTCCCCGGGCTTCACCACCACCTCAGGGCCCGCTACCGGGGCCTCCGGGCGCTCTTCACCGCTGGGCGCTGGCCGTGCCACCCGGCGCAGTGGCGGGCCCTCGGCCACAACAGGCCTCACCACCTCCTTGCGGGGGTCCTGGTGGTCCCGGCAGTGGCCCTGGTGACGCCCTGGGTGCATCAGCTACGGGGGTGGGCGCGACGGGAGTGGTGGTGGGTGTGGGCGGTGCCGTGGGCGTGGGCAGCTGCTGCTCCGGGCCTGGGCACAGCAAGCGGCGGCGTCAAGCTCCTGGGGTTGGCGCGGTTGGCGGGGGCAGTCCGGAGCGTGAAGAGGTCGGCGCAGGCTACAACAGTGAGGACGAATATGAAGCAGCTGCTGCACGCATCGAAGCCATGGACCCTGCCACCGTCGAGCAGGTAAGGACTGGATGGTGAGGGTGGGCACATATGTCATATCAGACCCCTAAACTGTGAGGTGACCAAGGGACCTAGGCTCTCTTCCGGGGTCTGACGTTCTTCTCTGGTGGAAGAGGCAGGAAAGGCCCTCTTCCCTTTCCCCCAAGCATTTGAGTTAGAGGCCCTAGATAAAGTGTGTGTGGGGCGGTAGTTGTCATTTTAGGTTCTGGGACTTCATCTGTAAGACCGATAGGTGGGGATTTCCCAAGCGTCACAGACAGAATGGGGG